TTTTTTTTTTTTTTTTTTTTTTTTTTTAGTAGAGATGGGATTTCATCATGTTGGCCAGGATGGCCTCGATCTCTTGACCTCGTGATCTGCCCGCCTCAGCCTCCCAAAGTGCTGGGATTACAGGCTTGAGCCACCGTGCCCCGTCAAGAAATAATTCTTAACTAAATTTCTGTTCAAGTTCTTTTGATTCTGCCTCCTTTGTAGCTAATGAGTATCTCCGTCCTTCATAATCCCACTCCATTCCTGAGGACAGAGTTTGAGTCTCTTCATGACACTGTAGCCTTTCATAAGCTATTCTTCCAGCCTGATTTCCTCCTAATTATTTTTTCATATTCCTCCTTCATACCAGCCGTATTGTCCCCTAAACTATCTTATCTCGGTTCTTCTTACCTTTCTCTCCATGCCTTTGCAAAGGAATATTCTCCTTTTCTTATTCCGCTTACCCTATTCCAAGGAGTGTCTCCTTTATATGAATACCTCGTAATTTTATCCAGGCAGTTAATTCTTGTGGCTGCCTCCATTCCTATTATATTTGCTCTTACTGTGCTTCTCACATGCATGTATTATAGGAAAAAGCACTCTCTGTTAGACATCTTAATACCCTGTGTATATGGACACAGTTCGCCTGGCCTATTAGCAGGTTTCTAGGGGAAATTGGTTTAATTTAAGTTGAATTCTGCTGCCAACCTAATCTAAGCATCTAATAATTCCCAGTTATTCTTTGTTCATTGTCACCAGTTAGATAAGAGATCAATAAATTTATGAGTTTGATTTTATTCATTAACTCAACTAGTATTTATTGAACACCTTTTGCATAACCAGGCCATTGTGGGGTGTTCACAATACAATGCAATTGATTCTTTCAGAGGTACCTTGATGTTCTAATAGAGAGAGAGGGTACATGCTGTAAAACAAGGCAAGCACGTGCTCCACGTGGGAGCCATACACTCGACTGCTGTGTCTGCTCTCTTGATGTGTCTGTCTGTCTACCATATATAAAGCATCTGCTACACCAATGTCTATGACTTGGGTTCTGGTTGCATAAGGTGTCATGGACAGACCATTAGAGATAACACTGTCCTGCAGTTTTATGCATGAGGTAATCTTTAGGAATAAATTAAATGTTAATAATATACTGATGTTTGTGTATGTTGGGGAAAAAAGATAATGACAGTAAATGACACTAGCACCCATAACAGTTCATTATGGCTTATCATTTACTAGTACTGTTAGCTAAAGTAATATGTTAAACCACCTCCTTTTATATTATGTCTTAACTTCAAGCACAATGTTTTCCCTGTTGGTTTTACAGAAACTAGAAAAACTGCTTTTGGAATTATTTCTACAGTGAAGAAACCTCGGCCATCAGAAGGGGATGAAGATTGTCTTCCAGCTCCCAAGAAAGCCAAGTGTGAGGGCTGAAAAGAATGCCCCAGTGTCTGTCAGCAGTCCCTTCTTCCCTTTTATACTTCATCAGCCACAACAAAGAGAAAACCTTTGTGTGATTTACTGTTTTCATTTGGAGCTAGAAATCAATAGTCTATAAAAACAGTTTTACTTCCAATCCATTAAAACAACAAACAAAACCTAGTGAAGCATTTTTTTTCAAAAGACTGCCAGCTTAATGAATTTAGATGTACTTTAAGAGAGAAAAACTATTTATTTCTCCTTTTTGTAAGTGATAACAGCAGATACACTTGAATAAGGTGTTTCAGGTATTTTTGTTTTGTTTTGTTTTGTTTTTGAGAAAGAGTCTTGCTTTGTTGCTTAGGCTGGAGTACAGTGGCATAATCACAGCTCACTGGAACCTCAAGCCTGAGCTCAAGCGATCCTCCCACTTCAGCCTCTCAAGTAGCTGGAACTACAGGTGCACAGTACCACACCTGGCTTTTTTTTTTCTCTCTGTAGAGACGTGGTCTCACTATGTTGCCAAGGCCGGTCTCAATCTCCTAGGGTCAAGCCATTCTCCCACTTTGGCCTTCTAAAGTGTTGGGATTACATGGACCACCAGTGTAGCCAGATGTTTGAATATTTTAAGAGCTTCTTTTAAAAGTTTCTTGTTCATACTCAAATAGTAGTTATTTTGAAGATATTCAAACTTATATTGAAGAAGTGACTTTTAGTTGATGTTTTAAGCTTCTCTCATGTATTCACCAAATTAACATTTTTTTTTTCTAAAAGGAATTGCTGTAGAGTTTGTAGAAGGAGAGAGGATGCACATGTAAAATTACATTTGGACTCTTCCTTCACTGCTTCATACCTCCATGAGGTCTTTGAAATAGGATTCCTTACTTTTAGTTAGAAACCCCTAAAAACTTAATTTTGATTTTCCTAATAGCTGTATTAAAATAGCAAAGCATTGGACTCAATCAACTTTGGAAATAATTTATTTTTATAACAGGATCATGTTAAGTACAAGTAGCTTTTTTTGCACATGTCTGCATTTATGTAATATTAATGTAAGGGCTCTAAAACACAATGGAGTAGAACCAGAGGTATAACTGAATAAGAAACTTTTTTAAACGAAAGCAAACTGTTCTGCAGGTTGGAGAAAATATAATTTTAAAAAGAGAAAACTTTATAACCTCACCAATGAATATAGATGTTTAAATAAAATATTGATTTAAAAACATTAAAACAGAGTACATCATTTATTCCTTTTTTGTGAGATTTATTCTTTGTTGTTGTTGTTGTTGTTGAAACAGGGTATCACTCTGTCATCCGGGCTGGAGTGTCAACAAGCCATGCTTGCAGCTCAACCTCCCGAATGACTGGGACCACAAGCATGCACTACCACATCCCGGCTAATTTTTGTATTTTTTTTGTAGAAATGGGATTTCGCCACGTCCAAGTTGGCCTCAAACTCTTGTACTCAAGCAGTCTGTCTGCCTCAGCCTCCCAAAGTGCTGGGATTACAGGGCACAGGTATGAACCACCATACTTGGCCTTCTAGTTCTTTTTAATTCAGTATCCTTTTGCATATTAATGGGTCAAAAGAGAAAAATCAGAATATTCTTAATAGATGCCAAAAAGACATTTAATAAGTTTAAAATCCACTCCTGATTTTTAAAATAACAATAAAAACCCTTGGCAAAATTCAAGTAGAAGAATATTGTATGCATACATAGATATGTTCGTAGTGTCTATTTTTTGTGCATGTTAAGTGTGATGGCTCCAAAAGCATTTTTGACTACCACTTGGCCAATCTGATGGATCAGCTTACCCATTCCTTCTGTAAAATTGAGGCTGCTGCTGCTGAGCCCACACACCAAAAGTCTGCCACTTCCTTGTGTGCCAGTTTGCTTTTGCCTTCACCCCACTTAAGTTCACCAAAAGTCAGCTGTGTTTATTCACAAATCTGTTTGTGCCAACTGTATTTAGCATTTTATGTAAATTAATTTTTTAAAATATGAAAATTCATGAACTATTGGGGGCAAATAAAGAATTGCCAGGAAAACTAAGCCAACACTTTGGAAATGTTTGGAAAAGATAAGTCATTACAAAGAACTGCTGTCAAATTAGGTGTGCGAAGGATAACAAGATTTGGGAGTGATCAGTAAAAACTCTTGGATTGCTTCACTAATATCAAGTTCCTTTTCTGTTTTAAAGGGACTAGAATTCAAGAAAGACAACTTTGGATCTCTCATCAGTGTATCCATACTCCCAAGAACAGGCTTTGACCCTTATTTAAAAGATTGGTACCTGAGTATACATTTATCTGTTTTAAGCTCAAAATGCTTAACAGGATATATGTTTAATTTTTTGTCCCACCTTAATTTATGAATTAGTGATGTACTAGCTATGGTTGGACCAGATAGAACAAGATTTTCATATTATAGAAAGGAGGTACAATTATTTGTAGATATGACGGTCTTGGAAAACTCGTAAAGTAAATGGGGAAAACAATAGAAATATAAGTACCTTTCAGCTTCTGTCCATTTACTATACATTTGTGTAGTATGTGTTTGCAGTCGTGCCTGCTTTCTATTAATACATGTTTATGCCATTGTTCACAATAGTAGGGTATGATGGCTGGTCACCAGTGAATAGCAGAGGCAGGTTTCCTTCTAATATTTACTTTTGTTAGAATGAACCACTAATTTAATTGCTATAGGATGACAATACCTCTGCCAAACCAAGATGAAGTTTGGCAGAGGGGCCAATTATGTATAAATACATAAAAACCAGCAGTTTTGATTAATAACCTGTTACATAATTTTAAAAGGTAACACTATTCACAGAGACATAAATTACCAAGAAATGTTTAGGACCTCTATAAAGAAAACTTAATGAAAATATTAAGAAAGGGAAAATAAAGACTAGAATACATGGAGAGATACATTCTGTTTTCTTGAATGAGACAAATTGTAAATCAAATTCTCCCCCAAACTATGCAGTTAACAAAATTTAAAATCAAAATGCCTGTATTTTTTTTTTTCTTGTTTATGCATTTGGTCTTTAGACTTGGTATTCTGAAAAAGTAAATGTGAGAACTGGAAATTTCAGAGAAAAACCTAATGGAGGGGACTTACAATGCTGAATATTACAGAGTATGGCAAAACTCTGGTACTGTAATTAGAACTCATTGGTGCAGAAATTCAGAAAGAACAGTGAAAGAAGGGAGTCCAAGATCACATTTTAGTTATAAAAAGAAATGATGGATTGATTGTTCAGTAAGTGATACTGAAATGATTGGTTATCTATTTGGGAGAGGCAGTACAGCACACCAGTTAAGTGCACAGAGGAAAGAAAAAGTACATGCGTTAAAAGCCTAATTTGCTAGTATCGCATTAGCTATGACCTTGGGGAAATTATGTAACCTCTCTTTGCCTCACTTCATCTGTTCTCCCTCCCTGTAACATTATTGCAAGGGTTAAGTAGGTTAGTATTTGTAGGTTTACTTAGAACAGGGCCTATCATATAAAATGTACCAACTACAGCCGGGAACTGTTGCTCACACTTGTAATCCCAGCACTTTGGGAGGCCAAGGCAAATGGATCACCTGAGGTCAGGAGTTTGAGACCAACCTGGCCAACATGGCTAAACCCTGTCTCTACTAAAAATACAAAATTAGCCAGGTGTGGTGTGCCATGCCTGTAATCCCAGCTACTCGGAAGGCTGAGTCAGGAAAATGACTTAAACCCAGGAGGCGGAGGTTGCAGTGAACGGAGATTGCACCACTGCATTCCAGCCTGGGTGAAAGAGCAAGACTCTGTCTTTAAAAAAAAAAACAAAAAACAGTACCCACTATTTTATTATTTATTACTTGGTTATATTAATTTGAATATTGAAGTGTTGGCTATTATTTATGAAAAAAATAAGTCAAATCTCTATCTTGCACCCAATATACACCTATAGTAAATAAAGAGAGATTAAAGATTTAAATTTTTAAAAAAACTTGTAAAATGCTAGAGGAAAATGTAAGTTAGTTAAAAAAAATAATGATCTTGGATTGGAATAGACCTGCTAAGCATGGTCATTAAAGCCAGAAAACAAAGTTTCATTGATTTGTCTCTACATACAAACAACTAGGAAAGAACATTTACAATGCATATTCCGGGAAGGTTTAATAGCCAACGTGACATGCTGTTAGCATCCACGCAGATCCCCATTCCCAGGGTGGTGGTCCCAGGTTTACAGGTGCTAAAGATGTTGGGTACTAATGACTTATCTTCACTCTTCTCCAGAGGATTGTCCTGGGCTGATGAGAGTCACTTTACTTTACCTGGAGATGCCTGGGAAGTTTTGTCTCCTCTGAGGTTGGTCCATGGGCAGTGACTGATGCAGGACATTACAGCCCAGCCCACTAGCGTCGGTGGTACAATTTATGCTCCTGAGCACCCCATGGGATTAGGCTGAGAGTGGCTTTCTCCTGAAACCACATCTTTGCTTCTTCTGCCATGTTCTGTTTTTTCCCATTCCCTTACAGAGGACTCTCAGTAAGTCACTTGCACAAGAATCCTAATTTCAAACGCTGCTTCCGGGAGACCTGACTTAGAAAACTGGACAAATAAAGTTGATTTTTTAAATGTCTAGTAAGCAAGAAGGTGCTGAACTTTCCTAGTCATGTAGGGGAAAATCACCAAAAATATATCTGGCTGATCAGGTTGAAAGTTAAAAGAAAAAAAGATTTATAAAGTGGATATTTTCAAGATGGTGGGGAAAGGCAGTAACATTGTGGAAGGGAATATAATTTGATGCAAATATTTTTCTTTTGTAAATTTATTATCCAGAAATAACTGGTTAATTATAAAGGCTGGATGGATAAGGATATTCACTGTAACAATGTCTAAAATAATGTGAAAATGGAAACAAACTAAATATCCAATAATAACAAGATTAAATAATCCATTGTATGTTGAAACAAAAGAATACCGTCTATAAAGAGGTCTAGAAGAAGTTGTTCAGTTGAAAAAGTTACAAAACTAAATACACATATATTATAAAGCCCATACATAATGTGCACAGAAATAATCAGAATGTCATGAAACCAGAATTATTGGTGACGTGTTGCTCCCTTTGTTATTCATTTCTGTATTGGCATAATGAGTATTGGGTGTTCAAGAGGAGAGGGAGGGCAGTATGACAGATGTTATTACATGGGGAAAAAGCAAAGTACAGCAGGAAGACACCTGGGGGAACTAACAAAATCTAAGGGCTCAGGAAGGCTTCCTGGAGGAAATACAGCTAGACCAAAGGGGAGGATTGAGGAGAAGTGATGTGACGGGGCAGAGTGGGCTGTAGTGGGAAGAAGAGACTTCCAGGGAGTTGGCACAGTATGTGAAAACAGTAAAGCAAATGCCTGGATTTTTTAAGGAACTGAAAATTTAGTTGAGTTGAAATTTAGAGTTTGGCCAGGAAAGTAATTAGAGATAAGAATAAAGAGTTAACAGCAGCCAGATTTTAAGGATTTTGTAAGACATTTTAGGAGTTTTTATTTCATCCTGAGGGAAATGTGAAGTCATCAAAGGGTTGAAAGAGGAGAGTGAGTTGATCAGCTTTGCATTTTAGAAAAATCACTGTGGCTGCAACTTGAAAAACAGGCTGGAGGTAAGCAAGCCTGGAGGCCAGGAGCCTAAGAGGGCTGTTCGAGTGATCCAGATGAGAAGTAACTGCGACCTGAACTAGGGCAGAGGCACCTAGAAATGGAAGACACAGAGAGATCACAGCACTACTTCCATAGTATACTTGGTAAGACCTGGTGGTTGATTGAAACAGAAGGTTGAGGGAAAGAAGATCAAAAACAACTTCTAGGACTCTCCATTGGCCAATGGGATGTGCCCTTCACTGGACAGCAAACACAAAATGAAAGATTGTGGGCAAAGACTTGACTCAGTGGGAAGGCAAGAAGAGAACCTTATTTTAAAAAATGACTACGTGATTAAAAACTTGAAAAATGGCCGGGCGCGGTGGCTCAAGCCTGTAATCCCAGCACTTTGGGAGGCTGAGGCGGGTGGATCACAAGGTCAAGAGATCGAGACCATCCTGGTCAACACGGTGAAACCCCATCTCTACCAAAAAAATACAAAAAATTAGCTGGGCATGGTGGTGTGTGCCTGTAATCCCAGCGCCTCAGGAGGCTGAGGCAGGAGAATTGCCTGAACCCAGGAGGCGGAGGTTGCGGTGAGCCGAGATCGTGCCATTGCACTCCAGCCTGGGTAACAAGAGCGAAACTCCGTCTCAAAAAAAAAAAAAAAAAAAAAAACTTGAAAAATTTCCCCCATGTGTTTATTTTTTCTGTTAGCAGAGATAACTAAGATAACTAAGCACTGGTCTTATTCTAATGGCATTTATTCCATATTGTCTGTCATGCCCTCTACCTAGTTATTAGTACAAATATTTATATACGGCAACACAAAATTTTTAAACTCTTTATTCTCTTCTCTCATGTACACTCCCAGCTCTTTAGGGGGGTTGGATTTGAGGCAGATACGATAAAGAAAAGTTGGTCACATGGCAGTAACACATCGAACTTATGCCACAGGAGACATTAGCACTAGCAATAGAAATGTCCGTGTTGTAGGTGCTTCACTTGGAAGAAACTAAAGAACCCTGAGCCTTAAGAGTCTGACAAACTTAAGCCAGGATGCTGTGGGGAAGGTAGAGGGGTGGACAAAGAGGATTGGGAGTGAAAGATATAACAACAAAATCCCCAATGCCTGTGGGAGGTACACTCCCTGGATTGTAAAGCACTAGATGGAAAAGGTACAAAAATATTTCAAACCATTCTCACAACTCTGTATGTGTCTATGACCAGATTAATTAGAAGACCTTCTGATTATGGACTATACCTATACACTCTCCCAAATGGTTAGAGGCATATCAGAGGTTAACATAGATGATCCTATACGAAGTGGGTCTCCTGGTGCTAGTGTTTCACATCAGACTTCATGGGCTTTCATGTCTTTCCACAAGTGCCAAACATTTCTCATACCCTTGCTGTATTCCATAGAACAGTATTCCTGCTACCTGGAACACCTGATGCTTGAATAACTCCTGTTTATCTTTCAGACAAACCCTAAAGGTTACCACCTCAAAGAAGTCTTTATGGAAACCTCCTCATCTTAGACACTCACAGCACTCTGTATTGCTTCCTTCGTCATATTTACTACAGACTGACACTGTGCGCTTATGCCTCACTTAATGACAGAGATACATTCTGAAAGGTGAATCATGGGTGGATTTGTTGTGTGATTATCACAGAGTGTTACTTACACAAACCTAAATGATACAGCCTACTACGAGCAGTACAGCCTGTTGCTCCTAGGCTACAAATCTGCACAACATGTCACTGTATTGAATACTCTAGGCAACTGTAACACAGTGGTAAGTGTTTTATGTATCTAAACAAGCATAGAAAAGGTAATGTACTATACTGTGATGTTACAACAGCTAGGCTGTCACTAAGTGATAGGAATTTTTCAGCTTCATTTTAATCATATGGGACCACCCTTGTATATTATTGATCGAAACATCATTCTGGGTGACATGACTATATATTTATTCCTCATTATTCATTTAATATTCCTCTATCCCAGGGGGGCATGCCAGGGACAATCTCTTTTTCTCATCACATGTCTTAGGACCTAGCCTACCACCTGTTCAAAAAACTACTGGCATACCTCCTTTTATTGTGCTTCAATTTATTGTGCTTTGCAAATATGGGATTTTTTACAAACTGGAGATTTGTGGCACCTCTGTATACAGCAAGTCTATTGGTGCCATTTTTTCAACATCGTGTGCCTGTTTCCTGTCTCCCTCATCACACTTTGGTAATTTTCACAATATTAAAAACTTTTTCATTATTATTATATGTGTTTTGGTGGTTAGTAC